ATAGAGTTGAATATGAACTCTGGAGAGGGGAGGGAGTAGCATGATCCCAAGGCAGAGCATTTGTTTTCAAGGTCAAACGTCACAAAATTGAAAGCAACCAGGAAATGAAAAGGTTAAATTTTAGACAAAGTGAATGAAGTGCAACCAGTCTTCCAAGAATGTCAACATCCTTCTGTGACACACAACACTCACAGGGGGCTTAAATTGAATCAGAGTTTTCAATGTCTTCTCCCTTGGGACAGCTTTCTTCTTGTTACTTCAGCAGCGAATGATACACTAGTAATTGTTTTTTGAAGCAAGAGGGAGTAGCATCTCTTGTAACAAAAGTGAATGGTAACCATGATAACTGTAGTCAGAATCAGAACCATGGCAACTGCCATTAGCCTGACCCAGAACCAGACCCAGAATGCTAGCCAGCTACATCCATAGCCTTTAGAGAAAGCTTCAAAGAAACAGCAACCCACAGCTTTGGGAGGGGCACATGTCAGGAGTTGCCAACCAGGAGCTTTGCAGGTCTGAATTCCACCTGAAATCTTAGACTTGCAACATGCAATTGGGGATGGGTGGGATGCATCCAGGCTGCAATTTGCTTCAAGTAAGTTCATTTTACTAGGCACTCCAATTATGTTAGGAAGTCTCTTTTTAATTGGTTGTCTCCCAGTATTTATTTCTAGTTAATAATGGGCCTGAAACAAAATTGACTTCTAATTCGTCATTCTTCTTTTACTAAAAAAAAAAAAAACTTATGACTCACAGTCCTACATAAATCAAAATATGTGTTTTAGCCTCTAATTAAATTGAGCAGCTTTGAAATTGTATCTCTGTGTGTACACATGTATAAATATGTTTGTTTAAATCCTTGTTAAGTAAGATGGGTATTATTATTCTAGTTTACAGGAAATAATATTGTCTAAAACTAAAATAAGTGTCTGGGAAAGAAACACATAGATGTACTATATAACAGAGGTATAACTTAGTCATGAAACACCAAATTCCACATTTTTCATGTCTGAGCTCAAAATAAGAGGCAAACTTCCAGGAATTGGCTTTCACTATATCATGTCAATATTGGCATCTCATAGAAGGCACACATTCTTGATCTGCTTTTTTCATTAACGTGTCATTTACACCCCTAGGTAATTGTCACCCTCGGCACTCATCACAGACACTTCTTTTGCAGTAAACAGATACCATCATGGAAAATGACAAGTGTTTGAAATAAAGACATATAACTGGCCATGAAGCGCCCAATCCCAGCTGATGCATCTATAATATCATCCATATAACTAATGCTCAGGGAAAGTAGCAGAAGAGGGAGAAGAAAGATTGTAAGAGCCAGAGAATGAGGATGTCTGCTGTAAGGTAGTGGATTCTGTATATGATGGAGATCTCCACCGAGAAAAATCTCAACAATATGGTTGATTAAACAAGGCCTGAGTAATGGCACCACCAATTGACATGCCAACATGGGTGGGAGAAATCTCCTAAGGCTCCAACGCTGGATGAAGAGTTACAGTGAATTAATAGCAGCTAATAGAAGAAGAATCAGCATTGCCCAGAAATGAACCCCCCTGATGGGTTATCTAACCCCAAGTGGTCAGTCCTAAAACATACACATGGCACACACTAAGTGAAGTCAGGAGACTGTATCTCTATATAAATATGTGTGTATCTATGTAAGAGAGACAATGGTTAATGGAGAAGAAGTCATGAACTTGGGAGGAAGTTGGTGGGAGGCCCAGAATAAGTCACAGGAGTTGAAGAATACATAGAAATAATGCAAATATAGTACTCACATATGAAATTCTCAGAAATCTTTAAAAATTAAATTAAAACATCATGTTTTTACATTTTATTTGACATCCATGCATTTATAGAAGGCAAATGTAACTGGTTGTTTGTAACTTACCCAATCTCCCATTCATACCACTCTAGATGTGGTCACTAGAGGTCAGAGTAACTTATAGTCTTCCTTCTGAAAGGACTAAGTCAAGAATAAGAGAAAATGAAAGTGGTTTTCACAAGCCTTATATTTCTATATGCAAGCAATTCACTTGACTGTTCCATGCTTCATTTTCTTTGTCCTAAAATAATGTAATACCTTATGTACCTATCTCTTTGGAGTGTGAGGATGATTTGAATTAATGTCAATCCTTGGCCGATAATAAGCACAATTCAGAGGGTTTATTTCTAATATAAAGTCGAATATCTGTTCTTAGTGCCCCTCACACTTACAAGAGTGTGAATTCCTTGGATTCTAAAACTTTACCATAGATCATTAAATTCACAGTGCTGAGTAAATCTCAAAATATAGTCTATAACTGTTTAATGCATAACTGTTAATGCATCAGAATCTAAACAGTTTGAGAGGTAGATTTTTTGTCTATCTTCAAAGCATTAACACACTATCTCCATCTCTTTTTCTCTCTTTGTCTCTCTCTGTGTCTCTGTCTCTGACTCTCTGTCTCTGTCTCTCTCTGTCTCTCTCTGTCTCTCTCTGTCTCTCTCTCTCTCTCTCTCTGTCTCTCTCTCTCTC